CGAGGTCTGAGATTGCACTTTGCTCCTTGTCTTTATAATTTTATAAAACCCTGACCTCTGAACTTTGGTGTAGATCTTTAGTGCAGTTGTAACCTTAGCACCTACTGAAATTTGGGTGCAGATGTGTTAAATTTGAGTTTATCCAGTGATGTCTGGCCTGGGTCTATCTGTTGTGTTTGGCCTCCAGCTGCTGCCCTTGGAAGTGAAGCTGTTGTGCCCCTGTGGCACCACAGTGAACCTGTGCTGCCCCTTTGTTGTTTCCCTGGCCCACAAAGCACAGGGGAGTGCAGAAGCTCTCCCACACACTAGCTGGGTCTGGGCCTTGGCTGAATCTGGGTTTTGCGAGAGTCACAGAAGATCTCACTCACAGGGCAGGCTTGGGGATGGGGGCTCCGGAGGGTTGCGGGGGTCCTGATGGCGCAGTAGATGGTCTCACTCAAGCAGGTGCCTGTGTTTTTGTCTGGAGGGGTCCAGCCGAAAATTTATTATATCTGTAAAACTTTAATTCCTAGCACACAGTAATAATAATAATAATAATAATAATAATAATAATAATAATTTAGTGCTTACTATTAGTAGCCCTAGGCATTTTGGATTCACTATGCAAAAACTAGATATTATGTTGATATTTTTAATTTTATTGAGAAAACATATTTTGTTTATTTATTATTATTATTACTATTATTATTATTTACTTGGAATTGAATTCAGGACCTTGTGTTTACCAGGCAGGTACTATACAGCTGAGCTATATGTCCAGCCTATAGTTATTTTTTTTTTAGTTTTAAAAATGTAAAATAACTTTTGCTTGCTTCCTTCCTTCCTTCTTTCACTCCCTAACTTCCTCCCTCTTTCCTTCTTTTTTTCAGTTTGTAAGATTGTGATTAATACTATTTTCTCTTGGAAAATTGGTTTAGTTTTACACTGATTTGTGAGAAACATATATATATCATAGAGATATTTCACATATTGTCATTGATTTTTATGTTACTTTTAACTTTATAATTTTATTGTGTTTTTCACATATATAAATTCAATTTTTTATGGTACTTGAAGGTTCCAATCCAAGGTAAAATTCTAATTCAATGACATGTATTAATATTTCCATTTATAGTCTTTTTTGTTGTTTTAGAAATTCTGTCATATGAGTGAGATTACTTAATGACTTACTTTACTGTTTCTTGCAAATTTCATGACTTCACAGTCTAAAATTTATATTGGCATTTCACATGAAATTTCATTGATGTCATTCTTTCTATTTTTCAACACTCTTAACATTTATTATTTTTCTCTTATCATGGCCACTTCAATTAAATTTAGTAAAGAGAGGTGTTAAAAATAAGGTCAATTGCAACACTGAACAATGAATAATTAATTTTTTGGTCATTTCCTTACATATCTCTTACATGATTCATTAAGGTTTTCTACTTATTAAAAGTTCGTCATGTGTATTCCAAGAATAGTGTTTGTCATTAGGTTTTCTTTGTTATTAGGCCAAATGATATCTTAATAATTGGCACAAATTATTTCTTAAGAATTTTCAAAAATATTACTTTCTTCTGTGATTAAATATACTCATATAATGCTACTTTTTATGTACTTTTTATGTATTTGTCTCATTGCTATACTTCTGTGTTTCAGACCAGTAATACTGTGCTTCTCACTACTGAATACATGTAACTTCAATTGCTGAAATGATAATATATCCCATTATAAATAATTTAAGGTATGATATTATATGTTTTGAATAAAATGCCACAAATACATGACATATATGATAAGGGAATAGAATTCAAATGCACGTACTTATAGAATGTTCCAGAAAAAGGCAAAGGGTAAATAAATTTTTGCTCCTGTCTTGTGGACTTTGGTAAGGGAATTAAAAATACAATCACTGAACTTATAATGATTTATCTATTTGAGTTACTTCATAAGATATCATGTCTGCATCTTGTACTATGAATAACCACTAAGAAGATAACAATATATAATGTATTAATTATTGAAACTGTATTATTAATTATTGAAACTGTACTTTTGAGACTGTCTCATTGCTGTTTCTCAATAAAATTAATTTTAAAAAGAACATATATTGTATTTTTTAAACAAACTATTTTTCTTGTTTGCTTATTAATATTTGACTTAATTATCTTGTATTTAAAGTTCATTTTTCTGCTTTTACTTTTTGTTTTACTCACTATTTGGGTATCTAACTCACATATTTTCACTATTGTTTGGCATTTAATTCCTCAAGCCTGTAAATCTCACTCTGAATTCATCCACATAGTATCTCATAAATGAGTATCATTATATTTGATCTTGATAAGAATGCAAATTCTTCTGCAGTACATATTTCTGCAGATTTTGGATATGTGTTAGAATACTTCATTCTTAGTAAGTTCCTCAGCTAGCAAAAAGGAAAATCGTATGGTATTCATTGATATATATTTTCCCATTATATTTGTGAATTCATTCTAATAAGAATTTCAGTTTATATTTATTTCAAAGGTTGTTTCAGTTTTCAAATGGTTGACTTTTTCCATCATCATCATTCATATCTACATATTTTCTTCATTCCATGTTTCTTGGAAAAAATAAAATACAAAAATTTAACAATATCATAATAAATAAAGGTAGGATTCCCCATCACCTGGAATTAATTTATGGATATTTTGGCAATTTTTTTTTCAGTTTTAGAGATAAAAATACAGCTTTTCAGATTTGTTTCAATTTATATACTATTTTCTCTTTTAAAAAATGTATCCAGTACAGGATTTACAAGGTCTCACTACACAGATTGGACTCACACTGATCCTCCTGTTTTCATTCTCTGAAGAGCTAAGATTACAGGTGTGTACCACCACACCCAGTTTCATTCGCCTGGGTGGCTGGGCTGGCATGGATTGTGGTACCAGGGATGGAACCCTGGTCCCTGCACTCTGTTCATTGCAGGTACTTTAGTTCATTGAGCTCTCTTAATGACCTTCTTTCTCATATACAAATTTTATTTTATTTTAATCTGGAAATTTATTTATATTTTTTAAATTTTATTTTTAAAAGAGAATACAAAATAGTATTGAAATAGAAAAATTACAAATGATACAGAAGTTCATTAAAAGTAATATGAATTTCACAACATTTATTGTACTGCATATTGTCTTCAAATAAAATTTCATATGAATTATTCTATCATTTTAGTATTTTCCCTCCTCTCCCTTATCACCCCTTTTCTGCCCCTCCCTTTTCTTCTCTTCTTGTCATCTCTTTGCTACCTCCCCCTTCTCCCTCTTTCTTTTTGTTAGGAATTGAAAACAGGGCCTCACATATTCTACACAAGTGCTGCATTACGTAGATGCATCCTCACCTTGTCTAGTATATTTCTAATAGAACATTTCATGTATATATGAATGTACCTATCAGGACCACAGAATGCTGTTTGGCATGTGCTAATTACATTTTTGTTACCTACATATATCAATGCTTTTAAAACAATTTTTGCCTCTGTATTATATTAATCATGTTAATTACACTACATGTTCATATTTTAATCTATTGATGTCGTTTTATCTTGAAATATATTGAGGTGTTTTTGATCTCATGATTTTGATATGCTGTGTGGTCTAAATAAATGCTAAAAACATATTCAAAAATTTGAAGTATTTTCTGTATTATTCACATTTTCTTTTAGTGCTGCTACATCTTTCTCATTTTAATCTGCAGTAAAGTCATTAAACATATTGTGTGCTACTACTACTGTATGTCTTTCAATTTCTACTAGTCCACTCCTCCCAAAATACATTCACAATTTTTTAAAAAATTATAATGCTGCACACACTTCATTTTTGTGTACACTTTAAAATCTCATCAGAAAATTCACAATCTCATTAAAACAGAAAAGAAGAATTATTTACAATTTCAGTAGGCACTGTTAATCAGCAGTAAGTGTCACACTGCTGCATAGCTTTCTGGATATTTTTACATAAACATAGTCTACATACAGAAGTTGTTAAAAATTAATTTCAAAATTGTATTTTGATACTGAAAATTGCATGCCTGTATAGATTCTAGTTGTACAAAAATATATAAAATCAAAAGTGAAAATATTCTATTTCTTTGTAATTACAGTATACTTCATGTATTCATTTATCTTACATAAATTAACCACTTATTTTCAAATGTAGTGCGTAGTATTTTATTGTATGATAATAATCTAGTATGTCTGAGATGCAAACACACCTTTAAATATTGTTTAAACAATGCACAGTGTATCTAAATTTTGTAAACATACATTTTTGCAGCCTTATCTGATGCTAAATAAAGCTGAAAATCTCTTAAAGGTCTTATTCCTATAACAAGTGACACTTTAGCATGAGAGTGCATTTTCTCAGCTCCTTATCGACAAGGTTTATCAGTATTTTCCTCTTTGCTAGTGTGATTAGTGAAAAGCAGAAGAATCTCATTCGATGTGAATTTCTTTAAGTACTCCAGCTTAATCATTTTTTATATATCTATCTATTGGTCATTTACACTGCTTTTGAAAAATGTGTGCTCCTTCGCAGTCTTCTTTCATTGCCTCATTTGGGATGTGAAATGCCCTCTTCCCTTTTTGCTTTGTCAGAGTTCTTTATTATTCGTTTCTCGTCTTTTACATGGTATCAATTCGATTCAGGCATTCATTTTGCCTTGCAGATTGCTAACACACAGTCTCCATTTGTCTTTCAGTATCCTTTACAGAAGCTGATTTCCCTTCCCTCCTCCCTCATTTCCTCCTTCCCATCCTGCCTCGCCTTTTCTCTCTTCTCCAGTCTTATTTCTCTCCTAGTCTAGTCCCTTCCCTTCTCGCTCTTTGTTTCTCTCACCCTATCCCCTCCCTCCATCCCCAACCCCCTATAGAAGTTTTTTATTTTAAGAGTCAAATCTATCAATCAAGGCCTGGCGACACGTCAGCAGAGCAGGGCGGGGAGGAAAGCAAGGAACTGGGGGAGGGGAAAGGGCGGGGAGGAGCGGTCAGAGCAGGAGTTGCTGGGAGTGCGCGCTGTCTGATCACAACGCAGCTGCGGAGGCCCAGAGCTCCGATCGTCAAGACCTCGGCCCAAGGCCTTCTCTGAATCTTCACGCCACCGGAGGACCAGGGAGCCGCCACACAGAGGTACGGTGCTCCGCTTTCCTCGCCCAGCCGGCCCAGTCCCCTGCTGCGGCGCTTCCTTCCTTCCCTCGCTGTCTCGCTCGCTCGCGGCTTCCCTGCCCGCCTGCGTCACCGCGGCCGCCATGGCTGAGAATGGCGAGAGCAGCGGCCCCCCGCGCCCCTCCCGCGGCCCTGCTGCGGCCCAAGGTTCGGCCACTGCCCCGACTGAGCCCAAAATCATCAAAGTCACTGTGAAGACCCCAAAAGAGAAAGAGGAGTTCGCGGTGCCTGAAAACAGCTCAGTCCAGCAATTTAAGGAAGCAATTTCCAAACGCTTCAAATCCCAAACCGATCAGCTAGTGCTGATTTTTGCCGGAAAAATCTTAAAAGATCAAGATACCTTGCTTCAGCACGGCATCCATGATGGACTGACTGTTCATCTAGTCATTAAAAGCCAGAATAGACCTCAGGGCCAGTCTACCACACAGCCTAGCAATGCCGCGGGAACTAATACTACCACTGCGTCGACTCCCAGGAGTAACTCCACGCCTATTTCCACAAATAGCAACCCTTTTGGGTTGGGGAGCCTGGGAGGACTTGCAGGCCTTAGCAGCTTGGGTTTAAGCTCTACTAGTTTCTCTGAGCTCCAGAACCAGATGCAGCAACAGCTCATGGCCAGCCCTGAGATGATGATCCAAATCATGGAAAATCCCTTTGTTCAGAGCATGCTTTCAAATCCTGATCTGATGAGGCAGCTCATTATGGCCAATCCACAAATGCAACAATTGATTCAGAGAAACCCAGAAATCAGTCACTTGCTCAACAATCCAGATATAATGAGGCAGACTCTTGAAATCGCCAGGAATCCAGCCATGATGCAAGAGATGATGAGAAATCAAGACCTGGCTCTCAGCAATCTCGAAAGCATCCCAGGTGGCTACAATGCTCTAAGGCGCATGTACACTGACATTCAAGAACCAATGCTGAATGCTGCACAAGAGCAGTTTGGGGGCAATCCATTTGCCTCAGTGGGGAGCAGTTCCTCCTCTGGGGAAGGTACTCAGCCTTCCCGCACAGAAAATCGGGATCCATTGCCCAATCCGTGGGCCCCACCGCCAGCCACCCAGAATTCTGCCCCCATCCTCACAGCCACAAGCAGTGGCAATGGATCTGGCAGTGGCTCCAGTAATGCTACTGGAAGCACTATGGCTGCAGCTAGTTATGTTGCTAGCATCTTTAGTACCCCAGGAATGCAGAGCTTGTTGCAACAGATAACTGAAAACCCTCAGTTGATTCAGAATATGCTGTCTGCACCCTACATGAGAAGCATGATGCAGTCTCTAAGCCAGAATCCAGATTTGGCTGCACAGATGATGCTGAATAGCCCGCTGTTCACTGCAAATCCTCAGCTGCAGGAGCAGATGCGTCCACAGCTCCCGACTTTCTTGCAGCAGATGCAGAATCCAGACACAATATCAGCTATGTCAAACCCAAGAGCAATGCAGGCTTTAATGCAAATACAGCAGGGGCTACAGACATTAGCCACTGAAGCACCTGGCCTGATTCCAAGCTTCACTCCAGGTGTGGGTGTTGGGGTGCTGGGAACCGCCATAGGCCCTGTAGGCCCAGTCACTCCCATTGGCCCCATAGGCCCTATAGTCCCTTTTACCCCAATAGGCCCCATTGGGCCCATAGGACCCCCTGGCCCTGCAGGCCCTACTGGCTCTACAGGCTCTGGTGGCCCCACTGCACCCACTGTGTCCAGCTCTGCACCCAGTGAAACCACAAGTCCAACATCAGAATCTGGACCCAACCAGCAATTCATTCAGCAGATGGTGCAGGCTCTGGCTGGAGCAAATCCTCCGCAGCTGCCCAATCCAGAAGTCAGATTTCAGCAGCAACTGGAACAGCTCAACGCCATGGGGTTCTTAAACCGTGAAGCAAACTTGCAGGCCCTAATAGCAACAGGAGGTGACATCAATGCAGCTATTGAGAGGCTGCTGGGCTCGCAGCCATCGTAATCACATTTCTGTACCTTGAAAAAAATGTATCTTATTTTTGATAATGGCTCTGAAATCTTTAAACACACACAAAATTGTGCTTTACTTTCATTTTAATTGTTTTAAATCTGTCTAGTTATAAATCTAATGATGATGTATTTTAAATTGGAATCCCTCCTTTCCTTTTCTATCCTTTCCTTTTCCTCCCTGCATCCTTTCACCAGTCCTCCCCTTTCCCCAACTGCATTTTCCACTTTTTTTTTTCTACCTTTTCATCTTTTGGTTACCTTCTCTGTTTTGAATGGTGGAAATCAATGCTGTTTCACTCATAGGTGTTGCATGCAAACACTTCTCTTTATTTAGCATTTGTTGTGACTTTTGGATTCAGGTATCAGCCTTCACAGTTGGGTGAACAAGTTTTGTGCTACAGATGTCCAATTTATTTGCATTTTAAACATTAGACTATGATAGTAATTTAATGTAGAATGAAGATACTAAAAACAGAAGCAAATTATTTGAAGCTCTCTAATTTGTGGTACAATATTGCTTATTGTGATTTTGGCATGTATTTTACCTAGCAAAATGCTGTAAGATTTGTACTATTCATTGATTGTTTTGCTATATTTGTACACAATACAGCAAGCACAATTGGAACTGTACATCTAGAAGTATTGCAGTAGAATTTCTGAGCAGAATATGTGTACCCAAAATAAGAAAGAATGCAAGAAATATTTCTGGAGCTTGGTATGTCTTCACAATTGTGTAGAACCTTACAGCATATTTGATAAATTACTCAGTGAAAATGTTGACTAGGCAAGTTAAGTTAAAATATAGTAGAAATGTTTATCCTGGTATCTCTAAGTATACATTTAATTGTACAGAAATCTTACAGTGTAATATTGTGTCAAAATTTGCAGGTTGACTGTATAAGACCTTAATATTTGTGCAGCCTGAAGGATCGGTGTAGTAATGCCAAGAAGTGCATTTTACCTAAGACTTCCTTCTCAGCTTCTCTCATAAAGAGACCTTAATATGCATTTTGATTTGTAATTGGAAATGTAACTTTAAATGAAAGTGTCATGTGGTGTTTGCATTACTTTTAACTGCTATGTATAAAGAAAAGTGTATCTTTTTGATTTTCTCAGTTATTTCTCTTGTGCATAGGGAAAAATGCATTAAAACTAATTAAAAATAAAAAATTTGAAAATGGAAAAAGCTTTTTCTTTTTGCCTTCTGGTCCTAATGTCATGTTTAGATGGGTTAGCATATCCCAATATTATGTAAAGCTTATCTTATTTTCCTTTTTATGGTTTTATTTTTAAAATATTTCCCTATATGAAAATATTTTGCTATACAGATTTAGATGTATTTATTTTCCCAAAAACGTTAGGTAGCTTTAGCTGCTATTTGTCTCCTGCCTACATTTGAAGTGTACAAAATCATACTTTGTTCTGTGTTTAGATTCTCCCTGTGCCTTAAGCCAAGTATACCAGCCTGCTGTTGTTGAATTACAAATAAGGCTTCCTATCTGTTAGAGTGAGTCCTTTTATTGATGTTATTATGTTTATTTTTAACCATATTTTCCAGTTATGCTTATATTTCTGTTTTGTCATATGAACATTACAGTTAATAGGTTTCTCCAGAAGTAAGTTGGAATTGAGCTGGGATTGTTTTAAATTGATACATTGCTGAGTACTTCAGAACTGCATTGCTTTCTAAAAACATGGTATGTTGACACATTTTATATCCTTTAAGACTATTTCATTTAAATCTTATATAATGTATGATAAATATATTGCTAGATAGTTCAAACATAAAGGAAACACAATGATACTGATAATGGCCATTGTGTTCATTTTTGCTGCATAGAATTATTTTCATAGATCATTTTAAATTAATGATTTTTCAGAATTCATAAATTTTAGATATTTATAATTGATTCTTTTGAGTTTTTCTTACCAATCTATCATATCAAGAAGTAATAATTAATATATTTTTTCAGAATTTATATCAGTTTCTGACCACATGAACTAAATATTCTATAGCTGTGTTAAAGAAGATAGCAAAAATATTATTGTGTTGTTCCATATTTTAACAAGATTATGTTTGCTGCTGCAATTTTAAATTGTATTTAATGGAAAGACATTCTTTTGAAAGACAGGAAAATAAGTTTGCAGAATGCTGTGCACTCTAGTCCCTTTGGGAGACTGATCATGCAGTAAATGTTGGCTAGTATTCTTTTAAAATGGGTAAGTTCTTTTAAGCATGCCTAATAGCACATGGCTTATTAGTTTTTCTCAGAAAACCTTAGGAAATAATGATTTATTATTTTATTGCTATATAATGTTGGACATTGAGATGATCACAGCTGGCTATAATTTAAGTATTTTAATGTCATGAATGATTTTATACAGAAATATATGCTAAAACTGAAAGTATAAGAAGACTATTAAGTGATTAACCATAGGAGAAATCCAGACCTGACAGTTTGGCAGACAAATTTGTTTCAAACATTCAAAGAACAGAAAATTCTTAGATAGCTTTGTTAAATGCTTCTGTGTTTTTAAAATATTTTGTTTTCTCTCTGAAAAAATTTAAGTTTTTAAGTTATACTACTCTGCCTTCTGGCTCACTAATTTTTCAAATAACTTTATTTTGCCTTTCATTAATTTTGTTTTTATCTCTTACATGATGCAATTTTCTCCTATTAAAGTTTCTTCTTACAGGTTCTATTTTTGATTTGAATTTCCTTCATCTACTGTTGATCAATGATTTATCCACTTATTCATCATTGAATGAATGCTGACTTGTTATCCCTCTACATCCAATAAGAGTAGAGTGATGCTTGTATCCTTTTATTGTTCACTGGGTTATCATTCTCACCTTAAACATGTTGTGTGGTGAATGTTTGTATTACAGGCTTTGTGAATCAGTAGGATGACACTGTAAGATGGAGGTAAGACAGATAATTTAAACAGTAGAATTTTACCATCAAGACAGCTTTCTTCCTTTGCTGTTTTGACCTTTTAATTTAGGTACAAGCTGGTATCATACATACTTTCCCCACTCTTTACCCCACTTTTCTGGTGGGTAAAGAGTGGCAGTAGAGGACAGATATACAACATTGAAACAAAACTTGGGGGTTCATTAAAGGGGACTCTCGTATCAAGTTGAGATCCCAATGTTTGGTGATAAACTGTGATCAGTACACACTGTTTGGGTATAACTGATCTTATTGTTTAAGAAAGGGTAGGCTACTTTAATTTCTATGATACTTATTATGAAAACAGGACAAAATGAAATAATTACTGTCAGGAGCTAACCCAGTTTTAGAAGAGGCATTTGGCTCTTCTCACTATACTGAAGGGTCTCAAATTCAGACTTTTGATATTCTCCTCAAATAATTGATAACTCTAGCCAAAGAGCCACATTGACCTGATGGTAAATGTACATAACATAGCTTACTTTTTTGTTTTGTTTTCAATTTTTAAGACAGGGTCTCAAGTGCAGTTCATTCAACCTGGGATCACAACTGTGTGTTACCATGCCCAGCTCTTTTAAAAGATAAATTCAATTCTTTTCTTTCTTTCTTTCTTTCTTTCTTTCTTTCTTTCTTTCTTTCTTTCTTTCTTTCTTTCTTTCTTTCTTTTCTTCCTTCCTTCCTTCCTTCCTTCCTTCCTTCCTTCCTTCCTTCCTTCCTTTCTTTCCTTCTTTCCTGTGTAGCTTATTTTCCTAAACATAAATATTTGATGTTTGATAATTTGGTGTTATTTTAAAGATATACCAAGAGTCATAAAAAATGGGAGATTATAAAATACCCTCTCAACTTCTAAGAGTTTCACATTCAGTCTTCTGTTTCATACCTTTATCTTCATATCCACTTTATTCCTCTATCCTCTCTCTCTATCCTTATCTTTTTCTTTTTTATATATTTAGTACAGAGTCTCGCAGCATAGCTCAGACTTGTAGTGATCCTCCTGTTTTCAGCCTCCCCAGCACTGGGATTACAGGTGTGTGCCACCACGCCTGGTCTCTGTGACCAGCTCAGCATACCTGGGGGTGGGGCCAGTATGGCATGTGGTGCCAGGGATCAAACCGTGGTGCCTGTGCTTGCCTAAGCATGTAGTTTGCTGAGCTATCTCATTTGCCCTATCCTCTATACTTTATCCCTCATACCTCTTATCATCTTTATTCTTTTTTTTTTTTTTTTGGCAGAACCAGGGATTGAACTCAGGTCCTTGAGCTTGCCAGGGAAGTGCTTATTCCACTGAGCCATCTCCCCGGCCCCATCTTTATTCTTTTAAACTTGAATGTATTTTCAAGTTTCCAACTTGATTTTCTTGATTTATTGGGTTATTACAGCATTTCCTTCTTTCAATGATATCTTTCAATATTGTTCTACCAGCATTTTACGAGTTCTTTCCTCGATCTTCCTATAGGTTTTGCTCAATTTTTTTTGCCAGCGTTTCCTATGTCAGTTGAATTGCAAGTGGAGGGGCAAGACTTATGAACCTATTCTCATGATATCTTATTCCCAGTAATCTGTTAGACTTGAGAAAAAGCAAGTTTGTAAAACTAAAAAGGGAAAACATGATTTGGCATATACCAGTCTGAAATCACACTGAAGACCAAGCTTTATCCGGTGATGTACATATTTGCCTAGACTTTAGTTACTTTCTTGATGTATAAAAAGGCTTGGCAAAATGTGCTTGAAACCAACAGTCTCAAAAATTTGGGAAATCCAACCTTAGAAATACGAATTTTGTGTGCCAGTATATAAGGACAATATTATTCATCAAATGGACATGAGTTAAGGCATATAACTATTTCTATTGTGGTTCCTGAACACAAACTGGGGCTCTCAAAAGTAGCTCTTTCAGAGTACAATTTCAAATCATCCTGGCCTAATTTACAGATTTGCTCACATAAGGTAATTTTAAGAAAAATTCAGTAATTCATTATTTAAAGAATTGTTAATGATCATGAATGAAAGATCACTGCTTAGCCTTTGCATGGACCACACTCACATGACTGTTAGTCTTGTCAGTGTAAATTAATTTCTCTTAGGTTAAGAAAATAAAAATTGCAAACAGTCATTGTTATGTTCAGTTTTCATAACAGCTTTATAAGGTAACAATACCCTAGTTTACAGATAAGGAGATAAAGTAAACAAAGTTAAGTAACTTCCACAATGTCATATTGTTATTGACAGTGAAGACTTGAAGCCAATTCTGAGATTCCAAATTATGTTATTATTAACCAGCACACTATACTTCCTCTTCCTAAGTGTATTAAACTTTACTGGCTTTTCTCTTAATCTATCTTGATATTTTATAAGTAGTCATGTATTCTCTAGCTCCCTTGGTGTTGTGCAGGAAGCACATTAGTTCTTATTTGATAAAGTATATCTTTGCTATTTATTCTGGAACAGGTTACATAAAAACACACATATAAAAATTAGCTCTGTCACAATAATTGAAATTTAGAGGCTACTCTTTCTGACTTGTAAATTTAGCCCAATATTTGAATCTCTCCTTCTATACCTCTGTTCACAGTGGCCTAATATATTTGATGTGCCTCCAGGTTCATGATTGCATGGGGTATTTGTGCTTCAGGTGCTGTGGAGGATGTCTACTTTTTGTTGAACTACTTCCCAGAAATCTCAGGAGTCAATAAACAGTGTGCACCTCACCAAGGAATTTGACATTTTTTCAAAGTGTCCTTGAGAGCAAAACAGAGTAAAGAGAGCTAGATGACAATTGTCACATGGCAGATAGGCTAGTAATTTAAAATAACAGTGTTAAAAAATGTGCAAATCAATGTAGACTGTTTTCTAACTTTAGTTCTATTCCACTGAAGTTCTTTTTAATGACTAGCATGACAGTATTAAATAACATGCCTATATTATTGCAAATAATATGCAATTAGAAGACAGAATATACAAAATATTAGCAATATTCCAATGTTCTTAGAGGTTTGGAAAAAATAACCAAATCTAGTAGAATTTAAATTGAATACAATTAAATATGAATTATTACATCTTTTTCTCCAAAAATTCAGTTACCAAGGCCATGTGGTTATGTGGTACAACTACATATGTGAAGAATGCCAGTTTTAATTTACTTTAAGTTCAGCATGAGCTAGTTCGGGTTTCAGTGCATGTACATAATTGAACCTTAGGCTTCATTAGTATAGTCATGGTGCCCAGAATAAAGAAGGAATATTTTGTTCTGTAATTCTCAGATACCTGTGTCTATGTGTATGCCAAACTTTGGTTTTACCAACTAAAGGAGGATTCTATCCACATACTTTTATATTAATGTACTATCCTTATACACTTCCCCTGTACATGTTGGGCTTCTGCATGAGCTTTGACCTAGGTGAACCACATATCATGTGGCCAGACTCTATGGGGTAATCGTATTGCTTGCTTTCTTCATTCATAGTTTTGCTTCCATTTCTCTATATGTTCCTATATATAAATGGCTTAAGTTCATTTTATTTATTTATAAACATTTTTTAATTTATAAAGTTTTCAATTTCCAGAAAAATGTTTAACACAATATGCAGTCCCCATATACCCTATATAAACTCTTCCCCTATTACTGATACATAACATTGATTTATATATTTGTTACAATTAATGAAGCAGTTGGAACATTTTCTGGTATTTTTCTCATGATTGAACTGGAGTTATAGATTTTGGGAGAACACCACAGAAGTAAAAGATCATTTGTATCACAATATTTCAAGCATACATACTTTAAATATGACTGATTGTTGATGTTGACTTTAATAACCTAGTTAGAGGCAGGATGGATCAATTTTATCTACTATGAAGTTACCTTTTATTTCCTTATTTCAATTCTTTACTTTCATTTAAAGGAAGTTTATGTGAAGCCCACAATAAAAAATTAATTATGTTCCATTCAGTGTTATTCAGTATAGGAGATTTGTTTCCCTGTTTTACTTATATCAATATGGATTCATGAATGTTTATTTAGCAGTTTTAGATAAAACTCAATACCATTTTGTCAGTAAAATTTTCCAGGTTCAGCCACTGAGTGCCTTTTGGGTTGATTTGTAAAGCCTTTTAAAGTATCTCTGTTTTGACCAAGAAGAGTTCTTGGCCCCCTTCTAGGAGTCCAACTCTGTTTATTACAGATTTGTATCAGAAGCCAAGATTTGAATGCTGTGTGTTTGCTGCTACTGAGATGTTTCTGTTTCCCCTAGTCCTTCTTAGCTGACACATGCAAGATATATGCGTTTCTTTGCCTATGTATGTATATTATATATATATATATATATATATATATATATATACATTTCTACAAATATTTTCTGTACACAGTTTTCTTATACTAAATTAAACATGAGATTGTATTATTGTCCCAATTTTTATCAGTTAGCAACTGGACCATTAATAAGCTTTATTCAGCATTCAAGCCTCCTCCCTCTACTGATCTGTAATCTCTCACCCCAATAGTGAGAATTTGGGGTCTATAACCATCCATCCATTTATTTAATTGTTCAGTTCCAGTATACATGTTTATCAATATCAGAATTGTTAACCTGTATCCCTATGAAAAACAACCTTATCAAATATAGTTGAGTGCTCATATATATTATTTTTGCTTTTAGTCTTAGACTGTTGTTTCATATAACTATTGTTTTGTACATTTTAGTATAGTTACATTGCTTTGCCACATTCCATAGTCCATCTCCCTAAATGATAATTTTCAAATGTGTATACATCAAGCTTTAAATTTTGTTTTGACAAATGTATATTATAATTTCTGTTACAGAATAACTTCACCCTTCCCTCAATTTCCCTGTGTTGTGCTTCACCTGTTGAACATATTGAAACTCTGGAAACCATTTAACACTTTATCATTACTTTTACTTTTCTAGAAATTCATATAATCTGGCTCATACATTGTGACCTTTTCAAAGTTGCTTCGTTTACTTAACAATTGGCAGTTTAGATTCATCCATTGCCTTGTAACTCAATTTCTGCTTTTTAATTACTGCACAACATTCCCTTGAAAAACCTTAATTTATTTATGCATTCACTTGATGAAAGACACTACTTCCAGTTTTTGTGATTATGAATAAAACTGCTTTAAGCCTGTGTAGGTTACCCCTTTGATTTTTTTTTTTAATGTGTGTGTGTTTAGTGCAGGGTCAAAAGGGTGTCACTGCACAGGTAGCATTCATTGTGATCTTCCTGTTTTCAGCCTCCCAAGCTCTGGGATTACAGATGCACACCACCACACCCAGTCTCAGTCTCTGTCTCAGTGCGCCCTGTGGTGCACGTTACACGAGCGATCAAATCCAGGTCCCTGCATCCTCCTAAATGGGCACGTTACATCGCTGAGCAATCTGGCAGGTCTGCCCCTCTGATTTGATGTGCCGCTTTGCGAATTCATGTTTACACTCTATTCTTAAAAAAAAAATGACTTTAGGGGGCCAGGGAGATAGCTCAGTTGAGTAAACACTTGCCTGGCAAGCCCAAGGGCCTGAGTTCAATCCCCAGTTCCAGCCAAAAAAAAAAATTAAAAAATTAAAAAAATTAAAAAATGACTTTATTATAGAAAAAATATGTACTTATAAAATAAAATTTAAATATATAAGATAATGTATTCGCAACCAGAGATAAGCACTATTATAAATTTGATGGTTTTTCCACAGTTTTACACACTTTAATATATGCATTTGTAAATATAATATATGTAAAGCACAGGGTTTTATGTGTCACTTAAATTTAATCTTATGGTCTAATTATTTTTAAATTTTTTATTTTTATGTATTTGATACAGAGTTTTTCTATGCAGCTTGGACTCATAGTCATCCTCCTGTCTCAGCTACCCCAGTACTAGGATTACAGGCATGCATTACCACACCTGGTTTTGGTGGCCTGAACTGCACTACTGGAGTTCCAAGGCCAGCATGGCATGTAGTACAGGGGATTGAACGTGGGTCCTTGTGTTTGCCAGGCAGGTGTTTAGACCACTGAGCTATCTCCTCAGCCCACAACTATTATTTAATCTCAGTGTTTTATTTTTATATTTTTAAAATGGCATATCTTTCAATTATGAAATCATTTCCAAAGTCTATAGCTATTAAAGTCCTTTTTCCACACACATAAAATTCTTAGTTTGGGGGAAACATAATAACACTCATTAATTTGTAAGGATATTTTTCCAAGTTAATAAATGGAGATTATCTCACTTCTATCAAAAATTCTGTAATATTACAATGTTCAAAGTATTTCACTATATGAATGTTATTTATTCATAATTAATAGAACTTTAGGTCTTAGTTTTTCCATACAAGCATTGCTTTGGCAGCCATACTTATACATTTAACTGTGATGATTTTTTTCATTACAGTTTTGCTTTGTTTGAGTTGTAGTCTCACTATGTAGTTCAGGCTGGCCTTGGACTCACTTTGTAGCCCAGACTAGCCTTGAACTCTTAACAATCCTTCCTCAGCCTCCCCAGTGCTAGAATTATAGGTGTTTGATACACTCAGTTATTTTGAAGTTAAATTCATAGAAATAGAATTACTAGGTGGAATAAAAAGTTCATACATTTAAAATTTAAATGGATAATACTAATTTGTTCCCTTGAAAGACTGTATTCCTTCCAAAAATGTAGCCTATTTCTTTTTCAGTATTGTTTCAATACCAAGTTTTGACTTTTAATCATTAAAAATATAGTTTTGTTTCATGATTTTTTTAAGACAGGGTCTATAAGGTCTCTCTGTGTAAATTCGACTTATAGTGCTCTTCCTGTTTACAGGCTCCCAAGTGCTGGGATTACAGGCAGGCGCCGCCGCCCCATTTCAATTGAGGTCTCATCATGCCCCAGGGACAGAGCTAGAAGAGCAGGCCCAGGTATCGAACTCCTGGCCCCGCATCTGCCTAAGGAGGTGCTTTAATCTGCTGAGCTGTTTGGCTGGCCCCGCACCATGTGTTGATAAAGTGTGAGATTAATATTTTATGTTTATTGGCATATTTCTCATATAAATAAGTTGTTTAGCATTCCAAATTCCTGATAAGTCACTACTTTTGACTTCCACCATGATAAATATATCTTTCATTAAGAATATTATTTATTGCTTTCTCATTTGCCCATACCTTATTTTCTGTAATTTATCATTTGACTATTAATTTCATGTAAATTAGCTGTACAGTTCATTTTCTATTGCAATGACAATGTAACAGAGACTAAATAATTTATAAAGAATAGAGATACTTTTAGCTTATAGTTCTGGAAAGCCCAAGATCAGGTAACCATGACTGACAAAGAGGTGAGGGCATACTCAGAAGACAAAGCACATTTTATAAAATCCAATTTCATGGTAACTAATCTAGTTTTACAAAAATGAACTGACTCACTCTCATGAGATATCATCATTTCTTAGCACTGTTGCACTGAGGAACAAATTCCAATATGAGTTTTGAAGGAAACCAACTATTTCCAAACTATCACATTTGCAGCTCCATTTTCTAGTACTTTTTAAAAATATACAAGAAATGTAGAACCTGCTTTTTAGTATGTTACACAAATTAAAACCCTTTCCACTCCAACTTGTAAAATAACCTGCATTTTAATTTAGCACTATTTTTCTTTTTTGAAATTTTACTACATCTGTATTTTTTTGTGTATGGTTAGAGGTGAGAAATTAATTTTTATCTCAAATGGATAGCCAGGTTTCCTAAAATTTATTGTATAGCCCACCTTTCCTGTATTAGTTTTATAATAAATTGTTGTATATACATGCATCTCTTTCTTAAATCCCTCCTTTGCTCTTGTGACATATTTTTCTATTCTTTTGGTTACACATTATGTTAATTACTATAGCAGTAGTTACAATATTTGGTAGAAGTTCCCTCTCAGTGCTAATTCTTTCATTATGTCTTTGTATCAGTTTATTTTATAGAGTTGTGGGAGAATACTTGAAACTATAGTTTATAAAGCAACTACAGATTATTTGTTACGGTTTTGGAAGCTAGAAAGT